TCTATGATCATTAAATTTTCATAGCACGTTAGGAAAAACTGTGATCTGGTCACGCAAGAATATTAATCAACTCATTCTTTATTTTTGAGAGCATGTGTGTACACAATGACAAGAAATTTTCACATTTTCCCATGTACTCATTTTTTAAAAGCATAAAAATTGGATATTAGGTACAAACAGGCTAGTAAATTTTCCCATATTCATAAAAACTGGATAGAGCCAATAACATGAACCTTAACTTTGAGTTTCTAATATTTGGTTTCTACAAAAATGTTATCTTTAGCAAACTACTCAAGTCAGTAAGATGCATGCAGTCCTAGCAAGTTAAGCCTGAAGAAAAGGAAAACAGTCAAGGTCTTTCATAACAGATTCTAACCATTCAGAACCTACTAGCAAAGGCTTCATGAAATCCATGATTACTCCTTATGGAAGTTACATTTACTAAAATTGGGAGCAGGTCCAATCCCATCACCTAATCCAGCAACTCAAGGGTAACAGATTTCAGAAGCTGTAGGCTATGTAAAAAAGTTTAAACTACAATGAAACCAGTGACAGTATACCAGGTGTTGCTAATGCTTCTACAATTAAAGTGACTGACTTTTTAAGATATAGGGGTCTATTTGTGTTTAAAACTGGTTTTATCACACATTGTATATTTTTCAGAAATAAGGCCAATAAATTTTTTCTCATCTGTAAGGTGAAGAAAAAGATGGAGACCTCAAAAAGTACATGAAGTAGCTCCCAAATTATAAACAGCTTATGCTTCAAGGTTTATCACTCCTTTGAAAACATGTTTGTACTAATTAACCTACTTAATACCAAAGTTTCTAGGGGAAAAAATTGCATTCCAAGTTTCAACTCTAAAACTTTCTCCCCTGAAAAAGGGATCTGCTTTTTTGATACTGCACTGAAAAGAGAAACCTCACAGAAGTTTCTCTATCCAGGGAGAAATCACTATAAGGTGAATTGAAGGTAGAGAAAAAAGCATCTCTCCTTAGCTTTTTACATCATTTCTATGAAAAAAGCTACAACTTAACACAATAATGATCACAGAAAAAAGACCTGGGGCTAATAAAACTTAAATATTAATAGTTACAACAAAAATTTGCAGAAACTACATTTTTCTCCAGATAAAAAGATAAAGTTCAGTGCTATGATCAACCAATTGTTTGGCACATGTAGACAACATACTCTCAAACTGCTTCCTCATGATCAACTCAATTGATTACAGAGGAAAGAAATAACCAAAGTGAAAAAGCAAGGGAGACCCCCCCCAAAAAAGTTGCCAAGTTCTTAAAAATATATATGCATATATTATTTAACATCATATACCACGTCTTTAACAGTTGGTAAGATTTATAAAACAAGCTGGGTGACAAATTTAAAAAACAAGTGTAACTCTGTGACAAGTCAGTTTTGGCAGCTAACTTGAATCTCACACAATTCACAAACTACTGTAAAATTTGTAGAAATAACTCACAGAGAAAGTAAGCTTTTCACTAAAAAAAAATGAATGAAACCAAACACAGAAAAAGGAGTTGCGGAAGGTGTAGCAAGCCAAAATAAATTTGATCTGTAGACAAAAAGCATGAGAAAAACAACTGAAATATGGTTAAAGGTCCCTGCCACTCTACCTAGTAAGACAGTAATCAGAGCAACTTCCAAAGTAGTATATAACCTAGAATGTTAGAATGGAGTAGAACTGTTAGGGTACTATTAGTAGCTTTGGAGGAAACTGCTTTAAAAATCCAAAGTAATGACAGACAATAATATACCAACACCTATTCTTAAATTTTTTTCAACAAGAATGATTATAAGAAAGATATGTCGAACCTAACTACTTGAAATTGCTACTAGATGAAAAGAAAAACAAGAGAGAGCCCAGTGCGGTGGTGCACGCCTGTAATCCCAGCACTCCCAAGGCTGAGGCAGGAGGATCGCTGTGAGTTCAAAACCAGCCTGAGCTACACAGTGAGTTCTGAAACCTAATCCTCTCTTTAAATCATCTGAATTGGAAATTGTAGGAGATTCATACTAACAAATTTCTGTTTACATTAAGATGTAGGAGCAATTCATTTATTACATGTATCTAACATTATGAGCATAAACAATCAAGAATATAATGAATATATAGTTTTAAAACTATTAGTAAGCAGAATACCTAAATCAGGTAGGTCCTTAAGACTCAAGCTGTATATACTTTCAGACAGCGCATAAAAATCCAAATGGTACAGTTTTAGCAAAAGAATGCAACAGAAGTGTATTTCAATACATGGAAAAATAGAAGCAAAACAGATTTTTATGGGAATGAGAAAAGGGTCATGCCCTCAAAGCATATTCTCAAAACTGGAAAAAAAATCTAAATCTTTTTTTAAAAGGAATATTTTATCATTTGGTAAAGCAATCTAATGAGCCTTTTCATGTTACACTGTTCAGTTTCAGCAGAGCCTCAGGCTGACTTGATGCAAATTCGAATTTTCCTTCAAAATAAGGGGCAAAAAATGACGAAAATCATCATTCAGTTGTTACTCAAAATGTTTGGTCAATCATGCACTTTCGCTGTTTGAATCTGAAAAGACAGAACTTTCTCCTTTCACGTTAATACTAGTTTTCATTTTCTTGTTCCGATTTCATTTTCGTCTAATTTGCTTAAGTGTTTCAAAGTTAAAACTACCTAAGAATACTGTACCTGGTTAATAAGGTTTCACAGATATTCTTAGGCTTACAAATAATCCACAGCTACTTCCTTTTGTAATTCCAAACATAAAGGTTATTAAAAAACATTAGTATTAGAAAAAAATAAAAACCTTTAAAATGGGATTAAAACATCTCACAAAACAATGTCACAGTAATTAACTGTTTATCTAAATTGAATTCTCCACGAGTGAGCCCAATTGTGTCTGGTGTTCAGTAGATGCTGCAGTATAAATTTTTCTCTTCCTAAAAGCATAATTTAAATCCAATATTTTAATATATGGTTAAATCACCCTCGAAACATTCATGATCTACAAAAATTATAATTTTAAGAAAGTAAGACTAACTCAAGGTTGACAGGTCAACAAGATAGTTTAAGAGGCATTCTCAGGTGGAAAAAATTTAACTCAGGTTGATCAAGCTGGGGAAAAGTTGATGCAGTCTTACTTTCCCAACTCAGATCAGTATAGTTCTTTTATTTTAGCTAATTTTAACAGTAGGTTAATTTTCTAAAAATCCAGTCAGTCCCTTATACATGTGCAACTTCAGCACCATAATCTAGGGCTCCCGTCACTATAGTACTGTTTGTTCTCTTACCCACAAATCTTCCCGCAGAGACCGATAAAGGAACTAAAGCGACGGTTTGGGTAACAGAATGAGCCTGCCCTAAAAAACAACCCTAGATGATTGTAGAACGGTAAGGTGCTGAGTGCATTTAAGGGCCTTGACCAAAAAAAAAAAAAAAAAAAAAAAAAAAAAAAAAAAAAAAAACCCACTCTTAAAAATACCTAATGGTGAATACATAGGAGTTGCTAGCTATCAGATCACTTTGAGGGATATTATTTCCTTTCCCACAACACCCCAATCTCCTTTTTCCCTTCTCAAACTGGAGCAAAAAAGGAAACAGCACGTCAAGGGGGGTTTCAGCACGTCTAGACTCAACTCCGGTGGCAATAGGGCAACCGCGGGGCCGACCCCATCCCAACCAGCAAAAACGCGAGGCAAAAATGAAAGGACCCGCGAGCTGCGGGCGGCGAGTCGCTACGAGTCCGCGAGCAGGACCTGCCACCTCCAGCGTGGCGGTCCCGAGCGCGGCACCCACCCTCGCGGCAGGGG